TATAGGTCACTTGCTCAAGGAAAAACACTGCGGTGCTATTTTTCGTGCTTCCTTCGGCATCTAACTGCTCTCATACAAGTTAGTAGTATGTTGCTTTCACGCTGCCGCAAATAAAATACTGGCGCAACCAGTTATTATTTGTCGAGATCGACCATGGATATTTCATCTGGTCGATCGCATACATACATGTCTCGATCTATTCTTGAACTGACGATAGTATTATTTTCACCCAACTTTTGTTTACGAAGCTCAGGCCGGCTGAGAAAGTAGGACGCCTGAACTAATTGCAGACTAGCACATGTGCGAATAATCTACCCCATCTAGATCCATCGCTTCAACGTCAATTACTATTGGACGGAGGGGGTACTCCAAAGCTTCATCGTGAAGACAAAATACAAGGAGACAACGTACACTGATTAGAGCATCTGCCAACAACCCAAGTGGTGGACTCAAGACTAATTAACAAGCTTACGTTCATACGTTGTCTCTTAGTGGATCACGACAAAAATGAAAATTTAGCTCCTAGCATAAGGAGAAGAAATTTTGATCCCTTCCGTCACGCATGACTTGTTCTGATTTCAGTGACATCTCTCACAAATACTACCTCCGTTCCAAAATGCCATACTTCATCATCCCTCCGGCTCTATCCATTTAAGGGGCAAGCTTTTTCAGACGAAGAGAGCATATTCTCAAACAAAGGTAGTAGTAAACATATCCTTAAGTACGATGATGTCCAAAAGCTTGTAGTCGAAAATTTGAGCGAGTCCCAAGCAGTGGAAATTGCGCTGCCGAAATACTTTTAACGACACACCAGACTATGGGTACTCATATACAGCGCCTTCAACTTTGATTTTTTAGGCAAACACACACTTTATTAATTCTCAGAAATAATGTTTATAGGAATATTGACTCGATCATAAGGAAGACCAAGCCAAATGTTTACAGAGACTTCAGTTGGAGCTCACGCACCGCACTCCTGGGCCGGCCCAACAAATACGATCGACCCAGCAACCTACTCTCAAGCACAACGAATGCTAAGAAAAAAATTAAAGAGGTTGCTCATCTCGCTATTTTGGGAGAAACGGAATTCGATCTCCGCAGGTGAACGTTGATGGCTGTAGCTAATACTTCCTCCATCCGAAATTATTTGTCGCTTAAACGGATGTATTTAGCACTAAAATATGCTCAAATACATCCATTTCAGAAACAACTAATTCCAGACAGAGGTAGTAACGACCAGTTAGAACTCATTTGGTTGACCACAATCAGTAAACAGTGTTATTTGACCCATATTTTACTTAACATATATCACTTCATTCCAAATTAAGTGTTTTAGTTTAGTACAACTTTATGAGTACTATACCCAGTAAAAATTATTTAAGAAAGTAATACTTTGAAATAGGATTCTTAGGAATATTGAAAACAACCATGAAGTTGAAAAAAGTTCGTAGAAATTGGAAAAAGTTTGCGGAAATAAAAAAAATATGGATACGCAAAAGTTCATGAATTTGAAAAAAAGTTTACGAACTGTAAAACAAATAAAGAAATTGTGAAACATTCATGAAATTGGAAAAAAAAATTAGTGAATTTCGAAAAGTTCACCAGCTAAAAGTTCAGGCATTTGAGAAAAGTTCAAACATTTGAGAAAAGTTCATGAATTTTAGAAATTCAAGAATTCAAGGAAAGAAGTTCACGATTCTGAAAAAAAAACACAAATTTGAGACACAAAGTTTTTGAATTTGAAAAAAGGTACGTATTTAAGGTAAAAGGTTCATGATTTTGTTTTTTAAAGTTTGTGTATTTAAGAGAAAAAAACTTCAGAAATTTGAGAAAGTTCACAAATTTGAGAACAAATTTTAAAATTAAAATGGAAAGGAAAAAGAAGAAAAAAGAAAATAAGAGTTCCAAAAACTACCAAAAACTGGCCTAAAACGAACAGAAACAAAAACAGGAAGAAAATACTGCCAGATGAAAAACTTAGTAGCCAACACTACTTGCATAGTACTAAACGTGTCGGCCCATTTCAGACCGGAACAAGGTCAATCACGAAAGTCGACTTTAAGGCCGGGAACGGCACGAGTCTTTTAATAATGGGCTGACACAGTCTGGGTTGGATGCGTTCCGCACGAGGGAGCGGGGATATATAAGAGGTGGCCCACTACCGGGATTCACGAGAGCAACTAGTTAATTCGGGAGCCTCACAACGATCAGCGTCATTTAGTGCGTTCTCAGCCGTCCGCCACGTGTCGTGCTCTGGTTTTCACCCTTTTTTTAGCTTTTGGACCAAAAATTCGAAAAAATAACTTTTTGCGAGACAAAACGTGTTTTTTTTCGTGTTTTCTGTTTTTCTTTCTTTCGCGAGAGGCATGGTTTTGCTTCCGTGAAAGGAATGGTTGTGCTTTCGTGAGAGGCACGACCGTGCTTCCTCGGAAACGAAAAAACATATTTTTCTCTTCTTTTTTTCTTCCGCGAAAGGCACGATTGTGATTTCGCGAGAGACACGGGTGTGCCTCTTTTGGAAAGGGGAAAAACCCGTCCTCGTGGTTTGGTTTTTTCGTCCGGTTTTCTCATGAAAAAAGTTCGTGAGAACCTATCAACATGGGATCTAGTTTTGAAGATCTCGACGTGAGGAATCCAACAACAAAAATGGTTCAAGATTTGGACACACGGTTTAAGAGATAAACATTTTGAATAAAAAGATCTACGAAAAAGGGAAAATTCCCAAGTTGCGACAAGTGACACACATGCAGCACGCCACTTGTCGCAACATGGGAAGATGGGAGTGATCTTTGTAATGAGTACTCCTAAATTAGTGATTTCGGAGATTCACTGGTTTTGAGGGGGGGCAGCCTGGGCCAAATATTTGTGCCCACGAGGTAGCCTATATGTCCAGATTTTGTTAAAGGATGGTGTGTCTACATTACTAGGGAAAAGCCTAATAGTAGCCCTAGTTTTTGCCTAGTTGTAGCACGGGGTGCCGCGCTACTGATAAGGCGCTATGGCTAACATGTAGCAGTAGCGCGTGTTGTCCCACGCTATTGCTATACATGGCTTGCAGCAGCGAGCTTTGGTGCAAAGCGCTCCTGCTAATAGCTGCAGCGCTTTTAATTAGGACACGCTACTGGTAAGAGAGCGTTGCTGTTAACTTTATTCCCCTCGCTGCTGCTAGTTTTATTAGTTTCTATTTTTTTGTGCATATTTGTTTTGTATTTGAACATGCTTTATACAATAATCTTTAGCATATCATACATGTACAAATGTAATCACAGCATATACATACAAATAGTCTCATCAAATCATGTCATCATCATAATCATCATCCAACACAAAGTAGTCTCTCGTCATCATCTCGAAAATAGTGATACAAGTCTCGATTACTTGCGTGAGAAGAGCTATCACTATGAGTGAGAGCGGAACTATGCAGTACATGAGTTCGTATCCCTCTCTCACATTAGCGTGAACCTAAACTAACTACTGGCGGTCGCTCAGAAACCGAAAACCGATACAGCTGGGCCTGACACTCCGGCCACTCGTCGTATACTCCTGGCAAGCACTTCTTCGCCATCGATGATCTATGCACCTGCATCGTCACATGAGTCGATGATATGCGACATATATAGTTGAGCAACAGAAAGAGATAGACTTGGCAAAAATAGGAGCAACATATCATAAGCATAACTAACAAAGTTCATTGTACCAAAAATGCCCTAAGTAGAGTGGTCTTCGCTAGTTGAGGAGGACGGTTTAAATACATCACAAATATGAAGGAAATATGCCCTAGAGGCAATAATAAAGTTATTATTTATTTCCTCATCTCATGATAAATGTTTATTATTCATGCTAGAATTGTATTAACCGGAAACATGATACATGTGTGAATACATAGACAAACATATAGTCACTAGTATGCCTCTACTTAACTAACTCATTAATCAAAGATGGTTATGTTTCCTAACCATAGACATGTGTTGTCATTTGATTAACGGGATCACATCATTAGGAGAATGATGTGATTGACATGACCCATTCCGTTAGCCTAGCACTTGATCGTTTAGTATATTGCTATTGCTTTCTTCATGACTTATACATGTTCCTGTAACTATGAGAATATGCAACTCCCGTTTACCGGAGGAACACTTTGGGTACTACCAAACGTCACAACGTAACTGGGTGACTATAAAGGAGTACTACAATTGTCTCCGAAGGTACATGTTGAGTTGGCATATTTCGAGATTAGGTTTTGTCACTCTGATTGTCGGAGAGGTATCTCTGGGCCCTCTCGGTAATGCACATCACTATAAGCCTTGCAAGCAATGTGACCAATGAGTTGGTTACGGGATGATGCATTACGTAACGAGTAAAGAGACTTGCCGGTAACGAGATTGAACTAGGTATTGGATACCGACGATCAAATCTCGGGCAAGTAACATACGGATGACAAAGGGAACAACGTATGTTGTTATGCGGTTTGACCGATAAAGATCTTCGTAGAATATGTAGGAACCAATATGGGCATCCAGGTTCCGCTATTGGTTATTGACCGAGAATAGTTCTAGGTCATGTCTACATAGTTCTCGAACCCGTAGGGTCCGCACGCTTAACGTTACGATGACGATTTTATTATGAGTTTATAAGTTTTGATGTACCGAAGTGTGTTCGGAGTCCCGGATGTGATCACGGACATGACGAGGAGTCTCGAAATGGTCGAGACATAAAGATTGATATATTGGAAGCCTATGTTTGGACATCGGAAGTGTTCCGGGTGAAATCGGCATTTTACTGGAGTACCGGGAGGTTACCGGAACCCCCCGGTGACCTAATGGGCCTTAGTGGGCCTAGTGGAGTAAGAGGAGAAGGGGCCAAGGGGCAGCCACGCACCCCTCCCCCAAGTCC